AATTATAATTATAATCATAATTATAATTATGTCGAGAGAATAAAGCTAAGAGTGGAGCGTAATTTCCGCCTGGTCTTAAATGTTTTTAATTAGGCCTAGATCGCTTTCAGGAAGCAAAGAGACAAACAAACTGACATCAGTTTTGTTAGAAATACACACATTACACTACTCACTGAATTCCGCCCAATTTAGTCGCTAATTTAACTAAGAGTTTGAAGAGTTTTTCATAAACCTTTCCTGTAATGAAATGCTACGGATCAAAGATAGTAATCAAACAATAGAGTCCTTAGACGTGGGTCGTGAGCATAAAATAGAGTGTTTATTTGCAAGCAATCCGTGGCGTTTGCCGTACATTCCAACATATCTATCAAATCCCCTCAGTGACCAATGACCCTAATTGATTTGTTTAGCAAAGCTTTGTTCTAAAATTAATTTAAGCGTGGGGTTTCGAGTACCAATAACCATACCCCGGAGACAGTTCACCGGAGACATTGTCTCTTAAATTGACATGTCCACCGAGCCTCTTTACGTGGCCACTTCAAAAGAAGTCATTAGGTTCTCGTTATAAATCTCTTGTTCGCTAGTTTCTCATTACATTTCCAATTAGAACAACGAGTCGCTAATCACAGAGCCTTCATCTCAAACTTTGGCCGCACAAATCAGAACATCTGCTCAAAATGGTTTCAAAAACTGTTTCTTACCTTTTGATGTGTATCGTGGCACTCACTGGAATTACTAAAGTCCGTAGCCATCCAATGATGGAGGCCATGACTGAGGTAAATACACATGACTATACGATATATTAGCCATATCAGATATAACGAAAAGCGATGTAACGATATTAGACTGTAGTGATCGATCAACAAGTTTATTCAAGGGTATGATTACGGAAGCGATTACACGAGACCAAGTTCTGTTACCAACTTATCGTTTCTAACAAAACTCTAGGAAATAATTTAGATAAATTAAGCGAGACTCTTGGTAATTTATTATCCGGCGCCACCAGACCGTCAAATTCGCAGACAAAAGACAGTTTTAAAGACCTACGATTCTCGGATCCTACGATTTTATTAAAAATAAACTGGGGCTTCGAAACAACCCTATCTGTCACGGACAAAGGGAATCAACATTTTTATGTAAGATAAAGTTTTGTTTGCCGCAGTTAGAAGCTTTTTTTCTCTTTTTAGAGCTGTTACTACGAAGGAAAGCCATACTCTGTCGGTGAACTTGTTCCACAAGAGAACTGTAGCATGCTTTGCTTTTGCAATGGGTACGGGCGTCCCAACCCGTGCTTTCCCATGTGTCAACGCCGCCGGATACGACCCTGTGAAGTTGGTGAAGAGTTATACAGTTATAACGAAGAGAATGAGTATGGCTGCCCGTGTGAAATGACTGCTTGTCGCGAAATTAATGACGACTGAAAGGTAAGAATAGAGACTCTTCTCCACAGAAACGGTAAGTTTTTATGCAAGAATATAAATCTCGATCGTTCAGGAATGCATTGAAACTCGACGGAACTCGACGAAAGTCTGTTTTCCTAAGAGGCCTGTCGCGGATGGCGAATGTCTTCAGTATTTACAACCCACCCACTCCAAAAAAAAGAGAAGTTCTTACTCTAAGATGCTGTCATCTTTATTTCGGAATTTTTGCTTTCAATGTGGTTAGAGACAAGTTCGTAAAACGACAAGACATTCGCCTGCGAGAGACCAAAGCAAACGATTTACACCCCTGGGAGGAAGGTGGGGGGAGGGGGGGGGGGGGGGGGGGAGGAGGGAGGAGACTCTTTACTGGGATGTACATCGTACCTTTTATTTCCAAGTCGAAAACACAGATACAATAGTCCACTCACAACTTCTATTTTATTTCAACTGTACAAACAAGCATTTAGCTGCTCTAATCCCATTCATGTGCTAATTAAAAATTTCATTACTATACAGCAGTTCTATTGACGTCAAAAATTAAACCAATGTATTATATTTCTCTACAGATAATAAATATTCTGAAATAAATCCTATCCTCGAAGAAACGGAAAAACATATTGTTGAATTTTTTTTCTTACTTGTCGTCATGAGATCTTCCTTTCTAAAAATTTACAATAAACCACAAAAGCAAGAACTCAAAATAAATATAATTAATGACTTGAGCATTGATTTTTTTTTTGTTACAGTTCATTACAAACTCCTCTAAAAGTAATTCATTTTAATAATAACTAAACGACAATTAAAATGTTATTGCTGGTTTTACTCCTGTGCACGATTGAACATTGCGTTACATCTATGTCACGCAATACAGGGGCGGAGATTGTACAAGGAGGGGTGGCTGGCACCTTGGGATTGCAGAATCAATGGGGCATGGCCCAAAAATGTTGCAATTTGAGAATTGGAACCTAATTTAAAAATTTTACACCAGAAATACTAGCGATGCCACAAAGTAGACATTACCCCCCCTCCCCCCCACTCCCTAAGTCCGCCCCTGCAATAAGGAAAGTCGACCACTTTGTGCAGTACCTTTCAATCACTGGCAGTAATTTCTCTGAGTCCGATGTACGGGAAAGAGCAAAGAAGGGTACGGAGAATTTCTATGCTGACTACAGAACGTAAAGGGACTAGAAAATAAATAATAAAACTGTCATATACTCTACTTAAATATTTGTGAAATGCTAACCACTATTCAGACGCTACTTCATTTCGGAAGAATTTTTTTTACGTTCTTGATATTTACGTATCTAATATTTATTTGAATTGCTTGAAATTGCTGGTTAATCAGGCAGTGCACTTGTTTGAATGAAAAAAAAAAACAATCGTTCATTAAAATCTTTGATACCAAACCGTTTTCTATCTAATGTTTAATACTATGACATTTTCTCTTAATATAAATAGCAGTTGTAAAGCAAACTGTTAAATATTATATTGAAGAAATAATGACGTCACAATTGGGAGCTCCTGTCATGATTGAATACTGCACGCAGACCTTAGCGTTACTTACGTGACTTTGCGTTACGGCAAAACGAGTCACGCAAATATCGGTATCTGAAATAAGTGATTTCCAGTCCGTATTGCCCACTCTCGAGGGTTTATTTACGTTTTTGTTTTGATTGTTTTAATTCGCAGCCACTGTCATGTAGTAAGGTCAAAACTTTATGATGACCGCCATTATGGATGCCAAACTTAATGACCTTTAAGCTTCGTTCTTTCTGATATTACTAGATGAAACAACTTTTTAGCTGCAGGAATTAAAGAAACTGTTGGACAAAAGAATTTAAAATGCCAAAAAATATAAGGTAAGCAGTTGGTAAAGAATAACATTAATTCGCATTTCATCGAGGATTGGAGTGCTGAGACTGCGCAGTACGCTTTGGAAATCATCTTTAACGTCCTTTGAAGAGATTTCTTGTCGTAATGAAGTTACAAAGGGGATAGACTCCTCAAACATGTACAAGCTACTGAAGTGGTGTGGGCTTCTGTTAAACAACTAATGAATGAACAACGTGAGTTGTTTAAATAGATAGGCGTTCTATAGTGATTCAATCAGTCCCCAGTTTTCTTTGCACGACTATTATTTTTGCTTGTCTAAAGGAATGACGCTGATTTGGACTATGACCACACCTGATAAATAACCTGATTATAAAAGTAACTTATAGAACTTGAAGTGAACGCAACCATACCGGCTTGAGGACGCCCAAACTCTTTGCACGGATCTGAACGCTAAATATATAGAATGTTAACCGCTTATGGCCACATGTTCTTCTCAATGGTAAGGATATGGCGGAGGGTTTCCCGGAAAACCAGCATGAAACGTCGTAGATATGGTCAGCGGTTTGCTGAAATCATCTCTCCCCAGTCCATAATCGGGTCGGCAGTCCTGACGTAAAATGTCAGGATACCCGTTCAACGTCGAGTGCATATGCGCATGCGTAGTAATATGACTCGCTGTATGGTGAATTGTATGCTCATTGGGGTGTCCAATGTATCCCGGATGTGGAAGTGGCCGAGGAGCATGGCACGGATGCGAGAGCGCATTCGTCGAGGACAGCGGTGTGAGAGAGTTAATTGAAAGGCTGTGCATGTAAGGATGTGGGGTCAGATTCAATGTTGAAGATGTGGTCAGCGGTGTTGTCGCCGCAGGCCTCTCGGAGCAGAAAGATTGCTGTCGACAGCTGCTCTGAAGCGATGTGAAGGCGCAAGATGACTCGAAGGTTTCTGACAGTCGACGAGGAAACACGACATGTCCAAACGCGCTTCCTGTTAACAGAACAAACAACCAGTAAATTTTCCACAATTTAAGGAGGCACTTAGATTAGAATAACCTAATTTTAACAACTATTTTAGGTTTTTGTCTCAGAATGAATATATTAGGGGGGTTTTTTTTTATCTCCCCTGCCCTCCCCCCTGTTTTTTCTCTTTTTTTCTTACCCTTTAGTCTTGCAGTGATGGATATATCCCTTATATGGGTGTAGACCCGTCAGGATCAGTTGTAGTTCAGTAATCATAGCTCACCATGGAAAACAGTCATTGCCTACAGTCTAATCTTACACCGCGTTGCAGGCAACCATCTTGAATTCGCCTAATAGAGAGCTGTTTTTCTATCTGATTGTGTTCCACGTTGGCTTTTCCAAAGATACGAAAGAGCGAAAAGAAAAGCTGATTTGAGATAGGTCCACTCAGGCAACAGCAGTCACTTAATCTCTGTTTATGCCTAATACCCTGGCTGATGATATTAACCTTTAATCTAGCTATGTTACAGCCACCCTCCCTGAAAGAAAAAATCGGATCGAACGCATCAGGATTTTTACCCTTTGCTAGATTTTTCCACCGGCATAACGTAACAACTGAAATCAGAAACACGTTTTGTATCCCTGGCGTTCTGTGAAACGGAAAAGGATCAACTTATACCCACGCAGTGATTACAAGAATATAGGAAGTTGATTATAATAAGGCTTTCACGTTAACAGGAAAATTTAAACTCGCGGATTACTCTCTGTGTGGTACGGAAACAAACAAAGTAACAAGGTATTCGCATTGTCGACCGCGCCCACTTACCCGTGTGCCCCATCATCGGGGGAGGGGAGGGGTCGTTGATGTCCGGGAATTTTGGCGGAGAGTCCTGGAATGCGCGTTTACCGGATTCACCGCTTGACGTTGATCCCGCGGGGGAGATGGAAAGGCAGTCTGTGTCGTTGTAGTCGTCTGGGGACTTTCTGAAATGCAACAATGAGAATATAATTTCAATCTATTGATTTTATAACAAATTAAGTGCCAGCCGTGGCTAATTAGTGTGCTTTCTTCATTATCTTCGTATAAAATCAACTGATTAAATGCTCACGCCAGGAAAAATGTCTGGTTACCGTATATGAGAGCAATTCTCCCAGGTGAATGAAAGTAAATGTATGAAAACTAGTGGGAAGAATTTTGACATTTCCTTCGAAACAAGGGTTCCATTGGGAACCTATTACGCACTCAAAAGAGGGACAGATTTCTTGCTTTGTATAGCTAAATTAGATTAATATTTCGGTGAGTAAAACCGGTTCTTTGAGGTGAAACAATCAAGTTAAGAGTCTGGAACTAAAGGTTTTAAAAGTACATAAGTGTGAATTTAATTTGCTGGCGCCTCGGGTTTTGTTCTTGTTTTATTGGTTTATCTGGTGACCGCATTTGCCTATTTAAAGCGGCGCTCTCTCGTACATATATTTCAAGCATTCTGAAGAGAAGCTAAGAATTACTACGTGCTAAGAAATGTGAAAATAATGGTTTGATAGTCTGTGAGCAGTTTCCCTTTTCCAAACGAACGAGAAGAGGCAAGCGGCGATACCGCGAACTTTGTTTGCGTTCTTCCTCGCAGATTTTCGCGCAAAAGAGAGACTGCGCGCAGTCTGTGGATTGATTTTTTAGAGAAATACGCGGCAAATAACAGGAATTCCATCAGGATGTGAGTACATTGTATTTCTGGCAATGATGAGGAAGGAAATGTAGTGGTTTAGAATATGGAGAAATTGAAAACTTGAGACTCACTTATCTACTTTATCAAAGCATAGTTAATTGAGGGGAATGGTTATGAAACTCGACAAAGTTCCTCGTTGTATGGTTCTGTTCTCTTTTTTGGCCTTGACCGTGCACAAAACACAAAAGAGCTGTTTACTACTGACCGAGGAACTAACCAATATAAATGTTTTGATTACGTAACTCGTGCAAAGTGTATGAGCGAAAGACAAAAGATTGTCCATGGTCGTGGACGTTCCAACATAAATCCTGCCATCTTTGTTTGCTACTTTGGTGTTTGCCGGCGGGCTTCGTAACTATACCCCTTTATTAGCTATGATGAAAGTTTTGTAAAACTTAAGTTGAAACAATGAAACTCGGGACTTTATCGTTTCCCTTCGAAGATCTCAATTCCAAATCGGAGAACACGTTTCCTGTAATTGTTACTTAGCAAACACTTGTCCGGAGATACCGGAGCAAAAGATGCTGCACAATGTGAGAAATAATCTGTTTGCATTTGCCGTTCACCGCCGTTTTGCTTCCGACACAAATTTAAACCCTGTATTATCTGATTTAGCTTGGGAATTAAGCGGCTGCTTACAAATTCCAGCACGTGTTCCCATTTTCGAATGTAATAACCGGATAAAAACCTGAATATCATGGCCTACACTTGAAAACGAAATGTCGTTACCAAAACCGCAGACAAGCCGCGGCAGGGTTTGATGAGATGAAGGCGACTAAAATTCTAGACTGATAATTTCCCCAAACTCTTATATCTCGCTGTCTTTCTTCAACTAAAGAAACCGGAAAGCGTGCTAGTAAAAAGTAACATTTTTGTAAGTTTTCCTGGTGCTGCTTGCATACCTAGCGTTAAATGTATTTAGTACCCATTGAGTTAAATATGGCAAATGATCAAAATGTTAACGTAAACTCCTCGCAGTGTTCCCACGTACCTTTTCATTGCAATATGATGCATGGTGCTGTTACAGCTTCCTCGAAAACCTTTTGCAAACGGGTTGTTTTCGATCTTCAGTTGAGTTATCTGTAAAAGATGAAAACGCATCCCCAGTTAGTTAGCTGTCTGCCTGTTTTCTGAAGAGATTTCAACATGCTACGTGCCGTGATCTCATCAAATATAAAGGAGGCAAATTATGGGCGGAAATGTCCAATTAGGGTGCGGAAAAATTGCCCAGTACCAGTCTTAAATGTGGAATTAAAGCGAACGATTTTAGTCAAATACTCCAGAATATGCTCATCGAGCATCAAACATGCAATAACATTCGTTGGAAAGTAAAAGAGAAATATAAGCTTTTAATCAACATCATCACCTACAAAAGGTCTCTTTCACACAAAAATGCTAAGGCTGTCGTTTCTATTACACTTCCATCGGCAAATACTAGACATTAAAAGCTGCGGATTGCCCAGTTTGTGGTTTTCCGTGCGTAATTTTCGTTGAACAGAAAATCTCCTTTGTAGTCTACTTGTGTTGCAATCATGTCGATTGTTCTCCATAAAAAGTTCCAAAAGAGTGAATCATTTCTCCAGCAAGTTTCTGTTTGTCGAGAAACTTAAATGTCATGTTCCGATGGCTACGTCGCAGTTGTACCACTTCGATGGCAAGTTGTACGTGAACGAACTTCGTGTACACGGGAAATACCCAGGAAAAACAAACATGTTATGCGGAAAGCTATTAATACGACGAAATTAGCGGTTAACCGGTGCATATCATATCTTTGTGCAGCGAGCATTGCAAACCGCATGAAGCAATCAAAAGCGCCGCCTTGCAACACTAAAACTGCAACACTTCAGCCCCGACACGCGAATTTCACTTTACGAGACAGTTTCTTGACTTTCGCTAACAGAGAAACTGTCAATTCTCTAGAATGAAATTTCTATGTATTGGAAGACTGTTAAATAATTAAACTGAATTATTAGAGTATCATGGAAAGTTTCTGCAGCCGCTTTAAGTGAAATTAAACTTACTCTCGTCAAGAGCTGAGTAAATTATTTTTCACTTATACTAGAGCTATTGTGAAAGAAATCGGCTTGACAGGAAAGGTTTCCGCTCTCAAAGATAGAAGAAAGTTTGATCTTGTTTGCTATCTAAGAAGCCTTTACTGACTGCGATAAATCGCCAGGAAGGAAATATAATTCTTAACCTTGCTTTATCAAAGTGAATTAAGTTAGGAGTTTTTTTCTCAATAAAATATGTTACGCAGTCTATTTTTATATTTATTTGTTTGCGCGTTTGTCTGTCTATACCTTTGTTTTTAAGTATCTGTTTGGATATTTGTTTTGGCGACCTTAAATTATCAGTAACTCATCGTCAGTTTCGAATGATTTCATGTTCTAGTATAACATTCTCTCATCTCCTAACTGATCTGTTTTATAATAGAAAGAGCATAGAGAAAAATAAATCATTGTCATTCACTGATACATTTCTGCTGTTTCTAAGTTGGAACATTGCTCTTGTGGGTCAGCCTCACCCTGTTGTAGGTTCACAGCTTTTGTCTCCCGTCTCCACAGCTGTAGAAATTAGGTTTAAAGTCTCGTGGCATTGGCTTTATACACAGACAAAAAATAAATGAGAACTGCCCACTGAAGAATTGCTTTTAGATAGAATCTTCGCGATTGTAAACCCAAACATTCAAACTGGTGAAAAGTAATTTTTTGCGAGAGAAAACCAAAACCTTGGTTCGTCGCAGTAATCTTGCTAAGTCTTTTCTGTTTATCAAAGCCCTGTTTGGCTTTCTAATTTCTTACATATCCGAAGATAACTGGTGAAGTTAAAATCAATCAAGAATATATAGGTTTCTTTTTCTCCATGTTCAAATGGAGCCTACAAATAAAGCCGTTTACCTCAATATCACGCATCGGCCAATGGCCATAGAATACGCACGCGGTAGAGCAATAAAACTTTTCTGCATAGCCTGCGAGAGCATCCATCTTTTTCGGTTTTAGTCTAAAACCTATCAAAATTTGGCTATTCAGGTTTGAAACGAATGCCCTCACAGGGCAAGGTTTGGAAGAATCAAAGCAAATATCTCCATTTTGATACTGATATCAAATGATATTATCGGTTGAAAACTTTGCTGACTTCAAATAAACTCCACAGTTAATAAAATGAAAGCGGTACCTTTATTTGGTTCTCCAACAGGAAATTCATAGCCTAGCTTTAAAAGAGGGAAGCCTCTTCCCTGATATTGGGATTGAGTGCAAAATGCTGTACATTTATGTAAGTTTACACTCGGTTTCTTTTATATCCAGAGTATGCGCATGAGAACTCGTTCTCAATTTATATGGACAAAATGCTATGTACAAGAACCATCACCTTTCCTTACTTTATTGCCGTGTTATTTTATGTTGTTATTACTTTTTAGCTCTCTTCCACAATGTTCAGGTAAACTCAGTTTGCGAAAAAACATTCTTTCGTTGCTAAGCTTTGTCTTTGCCAAACAATTTGTTTTCAACTTGCGCTAATATTGCGAAGAATGCGCTTAGGTTGATGAAGTACGCTATCGAGGGCGAGGTTTGTTTCAAGCAAGTGAAAAAACAATCCGACAGTTTTCAAACTACCGAAGTTCACTCAACTAGTAGCTATTGCTTATTTCTTTCCTAACAGAATTATCCACTACTCTCTCTATATGTTATAGTGGTTGATCACAAAAACTACCCTCGTATTGAATGGGTCGCCTGGTCACGCTCACTCGCCCTGAACGAGTCTGCAAAGCTGCATATTTTTGCGGCACACTTTTCATCCACACCTTATCAAGCTAAATCGTCCTTTTCATTGCTTAAATGAGCTATTTGAACTCAGCTGTAAGTCATTAACAACTTGCACTCACCCTCGGGTTTTGATAGGCAGTCACTCCCATGAATTGAGTCTCAGGAAAGACGAAGGTGTAAAACGAACCCTTTCTCAAACCGTACGGGCTGTAATCCTTGGCTGGGATGATGTGAACACGCGGCTGGTACTTGTGCATGGAGTTCAGAATAACCTGTAGTGTATGAAAACAAGATTGGATGTTAGGTAAAACCTCCATTCACAAGAGTGCGAGAGGCCTAGTTGAAATATAAGCACAAAGAACCGAGAACACTGTTGGCGTTCAAGGTTATTAAAGTAAATTAAGTTTTACCAGCTGGAAGAACAAATGTGATAATGATGAGACGAAGAACCACAAATATTCTTTGAGAATTAATTTCTTAAAGAAACGTTTGTTTTTTTTGCTTAATTTGATGATGAAAGTGAATGCGTTTCGGACGCCAATCAATTGTTATGAAATGTTTCAATGGGTGTTAACAGTTGAAGAAATTTCATTTCCTTCGAATTGCTTTCAGCTAAGATTTATCATGATTGGATTTTGAATATAACAAGTCAATATCTGAATAGTGTTTTCATGGATGTGGTCGAGGACGTTTCGAGTTATAAGAAACTACTCTTATCCAAAAGGTTCGCAAATGGCTCAACGTTTGCGAAGATCACTGACTCAAAAATGTCCCAGTTCTTTCCTCATGTTATCATACTGAAACAAGACTTACACATCAAAAGAATTGTTACTTTAGAAAGCAACGTGAGGCTAGGACACTCTAAAAAGCTGAAAAAGACTTAACATTTACTGTGCCAAAGCCATGACACGTACCGAATAGTCTAAAACTGTGGAGCTACTTTACCACGAACCGATAGGGCGTGCTTGTCAAAATAACAAAACAGCAAAAAATTCTATCGTTTTTCATTTTATCTCACACTCTTGCTCTCTTACTATCCAATTCATTTGTTCATTAATTAGAAAAGAAAAAATAGTCGAGTTTTGCTGCGATTTGTCGCAATTACCTACTGTGTTTGTCATTAGTTTTAAACGTTTTAAAAACCACTGATCGTCTTATCTCGCGTTCCAATCACAGTTTGACCCCATTCTCTTGGCCATTGTGATTTCTAAGTGTTGATTTTCATTTCGAAGTTAAAAGCTTTCACAATCACTTAGGAGGGGCGGGGTAACTCGGCCCCCAAATCACTTGTTAATATCCTCACGGCTGATGTTATTGTCAACTTGTTTACATCGTTTTTCAAATAAGAAACACAAAACTTAAATTGTCATCTCGCCAGAACGTACGAGCGGCGTTTACGCTAAGTTTATCGCGAATACATGGTTCTGTCAAGTTAGTTAGCGCGCACGAGAAAAGAGCCATTAATGAAATACCCCTTTCACTGGTAGAGCTTTCTATCCGTTTTTGTGACCAGAAATCTATTTTCCAAAGCTCTTTGGTTTCTCAACAAAGGCAATTAAGTCTTTTGTTTCTATTCTACGCATTTCAATAGATTTAGCGTGAATGGAGGTGTGCAAACAAATGTTCCGTTTGTGACGACCAGAGACAAAATCGTTCACTCCCTTGTTTTGTGCAAAGTACGGTATTTCAAAGCACGTTAGCGTTAATTATGGACCCTACGTTAATCATACCGTTTAGATATCGAGTATTATTTGACTTACATCTAAACAACGATTTCCTTTGAGAATAAAATGTCACATAGCTTTGCAACAGCTTAGTCCATTATATCGTCTTCAAAGCCAAGTTTATCTTATCTCCATACGCCCACGCGATTCACAAATGGACACAAATTTGAAATAAAAATACCTATGACTCTCTTTTTGGTGTTTCACTCAAGATGAAACATTTACTGACGAAATGCAGCTACGAAACAAAATTTTATGTTCATATGTTGCACATCTTCCATCTCTTGACAAAGATCAATTCAAAAAAATTCGAGATTGATTTTATGGAAGCGAGCTAAGACACTGGATGTTTGTCTTAGTTCTTAAAAGTCTTGACATTTCAGATGTTTCCAAATGTTTTGCCTTTAAGTAGTTTTATATACACTGTAGTCGAGACACCGCCAAACATTTTTATGCAGTGAACAACATACTTTGCTCTAAATGTTCTGATGTTAGTTGTTAGGGTAATAAAAAAAATCAAATATTGTCCCACTGACAGCAGTTTATAAATTCAAGAAAATACACAGTATTTCAAGATAAGATCAGTCAACTTATCATTTTGCCTTCAATAGTGGAGAGCCCTTAAATTTCATTCAGTAAAAAGCATCATATTTTTATTTCAAACGACAGGGTCTTGTTTTTTCCTATCTGCGTGTTCCTGTAAAAATAACCTTGAATTGTCGGGAGGAAAAATATATAAAGATTTTCGTTCAGCTTTTCTCACTACAAAGAATTTTATCTGAGCTTTTCCATATTCTAAGACTCCCATATGTTAAAAATCTGAAGACTGTTGTCATGATCCAAGGCGATTTGGGGAGGACCATAAAGTTAGAACAACCTTTTTCTTCTACTGATTTTAATTACATGGTCCGGGAGGGAAAATTCATCACCGAAGAAGGCTGAAAACATGAATTGACAAAATAACTTACGTGTCCCATTTGATCCATATGATTGTTTGTCAACTTCATCTTCTGAAACGACACAACTTGTCTCATCCACTGTGAGCCGGTCCCTGGTGAGTCAGGATGAATAAAGATTCTCGTTGGCATCAGGGGCTCTGCCTTGCCCGTCACTGACCACTCGGAGTTGTGAAACTTGTACCGGTTATCGTCTCCTGGAATACTGTCTAAGACCAAGACGTATTCCTCCTTGGGGTTTAAGCCGCTTATATTAACTCTAATTACGGGAAACATACGTCTGTGGACAAAAACGCAAAGATTTAATGTTAGTCTCTCTCCGTTAGGAAGAGATTTAGGATGGACGTAACTGCTGTGAAGTGTTTTGTGTTGAGAGGTTTCTGTCCCATTGCCATCAGCTTGTTGGTTTTGTAAGATTTCTTCGACAACCTAGCGAGTTTATTAGACGAGACACACTCAGTTAAAGTCGCCGCAGTGGGTCTGTTTCAGTGCATTCCAAACTAAGTATTACAGTGTCTTAAAAAAGGGAACTCATTTAGAGGGAAGAAATCGGGCGTTTAGCCTTCAGAGACTCTGCCCGTTCCACCCCGCACTTAACGCATTCACGTAGGATATGTTTAGCTTTCTCAATTTACAGCATGGCGCGACCCGAAACAAATATTTTTATAAACTGTGAAGTATCTTCGAAATGGGTTCCACAATATTGAGAGAGTACATAGCGCTAATAGAAAAAGGATGGAAATAAACACTTCGTTAGAACGTTTTGGAGGGTTTGACAGCTGCGTAAATCGAATGAAGTTAAACGATGACTGTTGAAACATGAACTCTTATCATTACACATGTATTTCACGACAGCGCTGTCAAACTCTTTGAGTGTAATTATTTGTTTGCTTCGACCTCCCATTATTTGGTCCAAAATACAGGCGTTTGGCAAATTCAAGTGCAAACTAAGAGTTAGAGTAAGTGACTGGTGGATTCCTTGTTAGCAGGTTTTTCCCGTCTGCTTTGATAATCGGTGGAGACTTTTCGCATTATTTTGGGCGGAAATCTGAAGAAATATCAACACAAGAGAGTTAGGAGAATGGAGTGTACTTCATTTAGCTGTCTCATCTTACCGTCCTGTTTTCGTAATGATCATCTCTGTCCCTATCTCGTGGAACTTGTCCCAAAGATCTTTATTCTCGAGTTCGACTTCGATGGTGTCCGACCTCAACTGGCCGTGCGGGAGAGCTGACGAGAAGCCGAACGCCATGGTGTGGATTTGAGAATATCCCGACTGAACTGCTTGGCTTGGGATTGTGGTCGCTGCTCCGTGCATTTCCTCGTAGAAGTTTGACGGATGTGAGTACGGGATGAGCGATTCAACGTGACGATCTGGCAGAAAACACAATCAAGAAGTCGGCTTTGGTTTTTAGATGCACCACAGCATGTGACTCAAGGCATGTTTGACGGTACTATTGTAATGTAACTCAAGGAAGCCATAGGGTCGTTACAATTTCCATTACGTCAGGAATATAGGAAACGGCGAGCTTTGCACGGCAGACAGGCAGGACGCCAATAAAGCAGATAAAACGCAGCACGATTTTAAGGCTACTCACCGAAATCGAACTCTTGTCCCTGAAGTATGGAACTGGTGCATCCCGCCAGAGCCAGTCCGGCACGTGTGTTGAGCTGACCTTCCGGGCTTTCAACGGATGTCATCATAGTACAAGAAAAGCTTAACGGCTCTCGAGAGCTTGGGTGTTTCTAAATGCAAAGCTAGAGCGAGAGTTTTGTTGGCGCGATATCACCAAATTCGCCTGAGCGAGTGTATGTCCAGCAAATTGCGTGGTCAGTTTAATCGCGCTGAGAGTTAACCTGGCACAGCGCGCGGTTGACCCAAGACCCCGACGCGAGTCAAACAGATAAACAGCCCGGCAAGTTCGAGGATAGAGTTTTGCTGTTGTAATCAATCATTAAACGATTTTATTTATACACCATAGAGACCTAATGTCGCTCACTAGTGGACATTCATAAATCACTTAGGCGTACTGCTCAATTACTGTAATGAAACTATTAGCGAGGCGATTGGCCGAGCAGCTGTCAAAAGCCCATCAAAGTTGTCTTCGGAGCCTAATAACGCATGACGTTTTTGTCATTTCCTGTTCGCCTTTAAATAGCTATTGTCAAGACAATCAATTTGCCGCGTGAAGAAGGCGGACTTGGACAGCCCATAACAACGAACATTACACCAAAATTATCCGCGAAAGAATTACTTGGATATTTTGCTTGAAAAGAGAATTACACAATGAATTTGAATGAGAATGGCAGGTTGCTTGAACGCGCACATAATACTGTCAAGACAATACAGAAGCGATTTTACAAGGTCAACATAACCAAGTATTTCCGGATCTGTAGATGCTCAGAAAATTCTGACAGTTGAGAAAATTCAACGAGTCCTCTGGGAGCATGAACGCGGCCTGAAATTAGGACAAAACAAAACAACCATATCTCAATTTGTTTTGTACTCGAGCTGAATAGAGTGCACTCAACCACAACAATTTGTGTAACCATGCTAACACGACCATTGTCTCGCGTTAGCGTTGAAAAACTAATCAAGAAAACCATCATAGTTTGAATACTAATTCTCTACTCAAAAGAGAAAAAAATTACCCTTTCGAAAAATAAAGATAAACGAATTACGAAGGAAAGGCCATTGATTTACGTCAGTTCTTGTCACTGATTGACACATGCCTATTTACATCCTGGACTAAACCAATAAAGATTACGTTTCTCCTCACGTACTCCTTACCTGCTCTAAAAGCTTCCTAAAAACGTGTTTTAGGATTTATAAAACGCAACTTTTGGAGTCCAGTACCAAAAAATGAATAAGGAATGGGAAGTTTTTGTTTCACGAACTGCGAAATAGCTACTTTCCAGACCATGTTATATTAAATATTAACAACAGAGCAGTTCACCCACAAATTTGCTACGCGGTTTTTTTACCCGCTCTAAAGTTTTAAAAACTTTTCAAAAAGTTCGGACAATTTTTTCTGTTAAAAAAAAAGAATTAACTTCCAAATGTTTATCATTCACACGTTTCGCAAAATGACTCATGCTAATTTGTGAATTGATAGGAGCAACAAAACAAAGTGAATATTTTTCGTGTTGAAACAGCAAAAGGAAACGGAGAAGACAGAAACAAAAGCGCCCCAGACGTAACAATAGTTAAAATATACTAACCTCCCGGTATAGTTATGGACGGAATTTTTTTTTTTTTTTCCCGCCACAGAATATGGGCTCAGAAAGTCCCGCTGAGAAAGTATTTAAGCTGGGTTACAGACTGTTCAGTCATTACTTGGTGTGTGGCCAATTCAGCTGCAAACCAATTCAGCGATATCACGATGCACTCATTTTTAAATATCAACTGAAGTGAAGCTACCAAGCAAGGGCGTCAAGGATGTCTCATTACCAAAGTAAAGTGTTAAAAAAAGTTAAACCGCAGTTATCGGCGCTCGGTTGTAACAGCTGGCGACCAAGTGGAAATCAGTTAGAATTAAGAAGGCTAGCATGCTAAAAGCTTTAACCCACGGATTAACCAAAAATGAGTTAGGGTCATGGAAAACCGTTTCAAAGACTTTAATCCACTGATACTGATTTATATAATCCCTTGTTTGCGTGTTACCATCTAAAACGAGTGAGCTGTTAATAGCTGTGGCGAATCGAAACTGTTAAGTAACTCAGTTATTCCCCGATGTCCAGACTTTGAATAATCTTTGCACCACGCGTCGGACGGATAATGTTATAAAATTATTTAGATTTGCAACTTTTGTTTTTTGTTTTGTTCAGCACGGGTTTTTTTTTAATTTTAGCAGGCTCTCGACGGAAACTAATACGATCATCAAAATTTTTGCCATTCTGCCCCCTTGTTTTGTTTATTTGTTTATTTGTGTTTTTTTATGCTACAACTATGCGGTTTCTGAAACGTAAGGGCTATGAATTGATTTATAATGAAGGATAACAGCATTATTTTCATAAGCCATCAACACGATATCCTATATTTCTACGTCATTAAATTCCGCGTGGACTTTTAAGTGCCTACGCATCTATTTTGACCCTGAACAAGGGAAAATCTAGCTCGTTCAAGTAATGTTCCTTCATTGAGTCCAGGTGCAATCGTGTAAAACTACAAAAAAAAAATGGAACTACTCCAAGTTTTTGCCGGGAAATACTTTTGAGAAACTTCAGTTACGAATAAAGCACACACTCGATAGCTGTTTTCTTATCAACAAGGGTGAAAGGTTTTCAGTTCTCTTTTTGTTTAAGACAAGTTGATTACAGGAAAAATAACATTCCACGAGGGACCGAAAGTAAAACACCTTAATGAGTCATTCTTGTAACGGAAATAACCCGCAGGCCTCATGTCTTAGCTAATCCTTGTGATTTTGCTTCTGTTAAACTTTGCACTCTAGATTATTATACATAAATTTAAACCTTTCAGCAAGACCATTATTTGACGAAACAGGAAACAATATAAAAGACACTTTTAAAGCCCTCCTTCAAAGTAGACAATAGCCACTTTCAGCTCCAAAATATTTTCTTAATCCTTAAACCTAAATAACACGCATTTCTGACATAGTTTACTTTTGTTTTAGGGAGTAAAATATAGCCTTGTGGCAATTCAATATATCTTATTTCCAAAGAAATAACTACATTTCATGATTCCGTGTAAATTTGGTTGCCACTGTACTGTTTGCTTTCGCCCCCTTAAAGTTTAATCGCTTTAATTTGGATAAATCTCTATTATGAATATTGTTTGATTTTCTTTGATATTAATAGACAAACTCATTAACGTCGACGACAATTAAAAGAGTCTTACGAGTTACTTTGGTTACGAGGGTATTCGCGAAACAGAATTTTAGATTCATTTAATCAAGAGGAACTAACGAAGTATTTACTAAGTAATAATTTGTGAGGTAATTTTACGTCGGATTGAAAAGGTTACAAGAACGAAAAAAAAAAGGTTTCCTGTAAGCCACGACACACTTCCTTCAGACAGAGGTCATTGGTACTTTTTGCTTCACTGACGTGAATAACAACAAATCCATGCTCCTAGCTCGTGGTCTGGTATTATATTATTGCTTGTGTGGGTATTCCATTAGTGATAAGCTGTTAAAACAATACACTTTATTTCACCTTTACTAAGGTATTTTGCCCTTTAAGCTTAAGCCAATTTCTTTGATAATGGGTACTTGAGTGAGTGACAAACATTACATGTTTGGTGCCTAGGAAACCAGGATAAACGCTAAAAGGGTTTATAAGAAGAGATAATCGTATTATTCTCTCACGTGGCGTGCATATTTCCACATCTAAAAGTGTAAAAATATACGGTGGCCGATCTGTTTAAGGACGCTGTTGATGACAACACTGAAGACACTCATCCGTCTTCTTCAAAATTCTAATTTCAAAAAAAAACTTAGTAAAAAGATGGAAACTGTTAACAAAACGTAGAACCTCCAGTTTTACCGAGTTTTTAAATTACCTTAGTGACGTTTCAAAAAGTCCTGTGGTTTCGTGCAGGTTGCCGAAAGAGGTTATTCAATGCTCTCTAAAGGCTGATCAAAACGAGACGGTTTTACTTTTATCACGAACTAAATTCGGTTTATTGTGCGGCCATGCATTCGCTCAGCCCTTGCATATAAGAACTCTTCAGTTGGTGAGTATTCGCTTCGTATTAACTTCACTTACAAGCAACGTGTTCCCAAATCATTCGAGTTTGGCCAAGAGCTAAAAGAAAAACCCAGACACAGGCCAGTTGCGTCGGAATAATCAAAGCTTGGCTGAGAACATGCATTCTTTTATTCTTTCCTAATGAAATTTAAAATGGAAATGTGGATTAAGCCCCATACTGTGCAATTAATGTTTGACGGAAAGACATCTGTCCCAACATGCGTTGGACTTTGCATGCCAAATTACTTTTTGCTAGGAAACCATATTGATGGTGTTTTGTTGGGCGCGTGCCGTTGGGGTTGATTTCTCTATTGACACGCGTACGCGTGCCAAGACCATTGTTTTATTTACAAGTAAAAGAGACTACAAAGAGATCTCAAAAAAATTGTCATTCGACATTGAAGTGAAGTTAGACTAGTTTATTCAATAGAGTTCTGCCTGATCTAATGATATTTGGCTTTTACGTGTTTTTGCTTGGGAGACTGTTTAAACACAGCCTGTTTTTTGTGATCTATGTTTGGCCTTTTCATTGGAAGGAAACAAAAAAGAACAAAAGGGCTTTTGACGAGAGGATAAATGAAACTTGTCGGCGGCACTTGTTAAACACAGTTCTACTTCATTAGTTCAATGATTTTGCTACGCAAGCCGACTACCAGTGAAATAAGTGTTTGTTTGTGCGTAATTGTGTCCTTTGTGGTAAATGTTGTTGTCAATAGGCCAAAAATTAGCCAGTGTATAGAGACTGTGTCACTGAAACAAAGAATTCTCACGTACGCGAAACTCGCCAGCTTTGCAGGCAAGCCAAGAATGAAATCGAACTCGTAATAGTGTGAACTTGTGGCATTGAGAGAAAATTCCACCACTCACATCAACTCTCCGAGTTTTCAGTTCAATGGTACTTTATTTTTCTTTATCTTTAGACAAGAAACTATGAAATAGTCTCTTGCTTCAGAGCAAAGGCATTTAAACTGTTGANGGGGGGGGGGGGGGGGGGGGGGTAAGAACTTATCACGTGCCCGACGTACAGAAGTATAAAAAAGCGAAACGCGAGTAGTTTTATATTTTTAACCTTTTAAACTAATTTTTATCTAATTTTTTTTTAGCATATTGTAAGGTTTATAAAGTGTTACTTTTTTAGCAGGGCTTCTATTGATAGCAGTTTTATTTACAGAGTTCACAGAGTTACTCTGAAAAAATAATCGTTTTACTTTACTTACTAAAATACCAAAAGGTATTACAAGTTATGGTTTTCAGGGCGATAGAAGTAAAAGCACAAATTGGGGCATACATGCTTTTCCTTTCCATCGAGCAGAAAACACCGTGCGCTTCGAGGCAGCAAGGGTAACAACGCCTATCAGCATCGCGCCTACACTTTTTCAGGACAACCTTTCTGAGCCTATGTAAATGTGTTTTGTTACCAACAGATGGCACAAACCAACAGCTGATGCGTAAATGTAGAGTAGTGGCCATACAAGTTTGTCCAACGTCGACAATTGGTTATGCAAGGGCTTAGCTGAGTTTATGCATTGATGGATTCGAGTGCCAGCCACAAGAATTGGAGAGACCTTGTTTCAAAATATTGTACTTGAGTGCTTCCAATAAAGATGTCGAAATCGAAGTCTGTTTCCAAACAGTTGTAAGTTATTAAACACATTTTCCAACCATAGCCATTTTGCAACGCCATGTTTTGAAAGGTTCTCTGGAAAGCAAACTTTTAAGCATCTTTTCGTCTTCATATGGAAAATTCTGATTCTCAAGCTACAATTCATAAATAACAACTGAGGATAAAGGTTTTTACAAGGTCCAAATGGGTTTGGCGGAATGTGGGAAGAGACTAAAAATGCAGGCGGGATGCGGAATGACAGAAATTTTAATGGCGGGTTTGGGGATAAAACTACTTCGGTGGGAGCGGGATTTGCTTATTTTGACATGCGGGATGCGGGATAGTTTTAAAGTTGACGGCGGGATGCGGGTTGAAAAACAGAAAATCACAGGTTACGGATGTTACACGGAGACCTGCGACTCTAAACAGGTGGGATCAGGATAAACATCCTGAGTGGGGCGGAATGGCGGGATTGAGGCGAAAATAGTGCGGAATGAGGGATTGAAAAAGCTATGTTGTACCCTCTTTATACAGTTTATCCCCCATATGGGCCGTGTTCCTAAGGTCCAATTACTTTTAGATCACTTCCAATACCTGCGACTCCCGGAAGTTCTAGAATTAGCCGATCCTGTGGCGCGAACTTTACTCAGCGTTTTTCCAGGCATTTTCCATCCTACAGGAAACATCCACGCAACGCGCGAGCAACGCGCGTGGTAACATCCGTGGAAGAACTGGGTACCAACGTCTAACAATAACTTGAGTAGGATTATCGTGGATCTACTCCCTTATAAATTACCTGTCTTTGAAAACAATCATAAAAATTGAAACAAGTCTCATACGCATACGTTTCCGTCTGTTAGCGCATATATATATATTTTTTCGTCTTGACAATAGGCCATTTCCGAATTACCTTGCGCCTCTGTTTCAAAAACAGTCCCCGTTTAAAATCTTTCTTGTGAAAATAAGTTTGATTTGCATGAAAATGAACCTGTAGGTGGAACTCATTTTCATATGAATGGTTTTCTTCTCACGAAGACTCGTTTTGACAGAGGCAAAAGACAATTCAAAAATAGAATATTAGGTTCGATTATGCCTCTCCACACGAGATCGATAACAGAAACAACACTCAAAATATCTATCAGGCGAGGACGCCTGATAACGAATCTGACGGACCCACATTGAGCATACATTGTTTACACATTGTTGTTTACACATTGTGTGTGTGCTCTGTACATACGTCATGTAAACTACTCAAAACCTTCAAAACATAAACCTACATGTGTCCGGTGATAAGTCGAGTCTCTTGTGCGCAAGTTTATCTAGTTTTTCTTAAGTTTTTCTTCAATACGGATCGTCCAAGCAAGCTCAAAGACTTCAGAGGTTTAGCATGACATTTACGGCAAAAGGCGAACGACAAAAATTACCTCTGATTTTATGTTCTTTTCTCTAAACCTTAAATAAAAAGATTTAAATTTATCATCTATGATCGCGTTTTTGATTGCTGTTTAAAGAGTTGGAAATAAATTAGTCAAAGTTGAAGGGAAAAATATAAACAGAAACTCCTACTCAAAAGTTACGATATGTACTGAAATCAAAATTTGCGCTGATCACGAATAACCTTAATCACTCTTTGAACAAACAGTACGGGCGTTTTTGTGGGCGAGCGCTGAATAATTTCTTTCGCGTACTTGGTCAGAGAACTACAAGTTCATTCTTCAGCCTAGACTGTTCACAAACTCTATTTTTCAACGCACGCGACGGAAAAAGCGAGCGAAGGGAGCGCACGCGCAAGCGCCAAGCACGAAGGGGGTGGGGGCGGGGAAACGAGCGAAGCGAGCTAAACGAAGAATATAGGCACATGCCCTCTATTTAGCTTGGTCCCTACCCCCTACCCCGTCAATGCTTCCGTTTTGCGCTGGCGTCCAGTTCTCTCGCAATTCTACCCACGCGTTCAACAATCGAATAAAAATACGAGAAAATAGAGGTTTGAGAACAGTCTATCTTCAGCCTCGCCAGACCCCCTTTTGTTTACGCATCAAACATGGCAGGGAAGCAGCTCGTTCGCTTACTCGCTCAAATTACGACAGCACTGCCAGGTAGGCTGATCACGTTATGTTTGCCACGTTGTTTACAAAAGTATTAAATACTAAAACTGAATTCACGATCATTGAGATAAAGGTGTTCCGGCTGATTTTCTGTAGGTGTTGAACACTTCGATGTACTGAAGTATAGTGTCTGAAGGGCAAAACAGATCGGTGCTTTTGTTGCTGCACTTGGGAGGAAGAGGAACAGTGAATGATGGATCCATGAAGCTTGACAGGAACTCAGTCATCAAACCCCAGCACTGTTGAACGTCCATGCACGGCTGATATTCCAACTGAAAATCACGTAAAATACATATATGTTATTTGCTGGCCAGGAGGTCCGTACTGAGAAAAACTAAGACGGAGGGCATAATTTTTCCCAATACGGTCCGAAGGAGGCCAACCAAGGCCGGCAAATAACGTGCTTCAAATCAGGTGCAGCGTGGGTTTGACAATTCGGACGCAAATACTGTTTGTTCAATGTTAACATTTAACACTTATTGACTGGTCTCGAGGGGAACAGTGAATTTTGTTCCCGAGAATCTCAATGTTTTCCGAGACGACCAGTCATTAAGTGATTTGTTATATAACAAAACAAAACAAAAGCAAATTTTGAAAAACGCGCCGAGATTCCAGCGACAGCATCAGGCCACCTTGAACTGCACGCCCTGATCACGTGCAACAGCGGTCAATATTTCGCGGGTAACAGTGAACTGTTTTCCGTTTGACGTCATAGTTTTTGCAACGTTACGCGCTCATGGCATTTGGCGGTAAACAGTTTTATTGTTAGATGACATGTGTGACCACGAACTAGCCAATGAATGGGCGCGCTGTTGCCCGAAAAACGCCAGCTATATAACAATTTACGTTGTTTTACGGTGTAGCAAAAAGTTTGAAAAGTCAAAGTTGGAAATTTCGGAGCGGCACGCTATCCACCGGATAAATCACTATCCAGCGGATAACGTGGTTTGTTTTGTTAACACTTATCTACTGGATAGCGATTTATCGGGTGGATATAGCGTTATTCAGCCTTCGAACAACTGGGGCCTGGTGAGCAGGCTCCGACTGGAAGGGCAAAGACGGTTCAGGCTGAGAGTGAAGTGGCCGAGGGGGAGAATGGGGTGGGGGTTGAGTAGCCGGGCCTCTTCCCCATCCTCTCTCTTCTATCCTCTTTCTTCCCGTTTTCTCTTCGCCCCATTCTCGAATAGAGAGCCTATTCACAGGCTACTAGAAAAAGAAATAAACGAATTGTCTGTTTTACCTCCACAACCAGACCTTTGAAGCTTGGGCCAGCAGAAACTTGACCAAACTTCAGAACAAAGTCTCCATACTCGTATCGTTGCCCTTTTGCCTAAAAAATGGAAAGACAAAGTCAAAGCATTTTATATGGTCAGTGTTGATATAACTAAAGTGAAAGTGTGAACTACCTTTTGCAAGAACGTTTTTACAAAATTAACTGCACATACAAGGAGCTGGATGACATGTGATGGCTACCATCCTAGCCATCCAAGAGGAAAAATCTTAGTCTCCCTATGCAATGTAAACTATAGTTGAGCACACCCATTTGATGCACCACAACAAACTGTGTGTAGCAAAGACTTCGCTCTATTTATGTGATGCTATATTTATATGCAGAATGTGGGTGACAAGATGCCTGAATGTGTTCTAGTCTGTGTTCTTGCAGTGCCTCTTGGTCTCCTCACTTAGGAGTGGTATATGAGTTCAAAAAATGGCTAGGGCAACCCAACCTTGTGACACTTAGCCTGTTCCAGGCTCTTGGCAGTTGGGGATGAGCGAGTGCACTTAGTCCTCCCTTGTTTTTTTTTCTTGCTCACCCTCTTTTTTCCGCTCATCCCCAACTACCAAGAGCCTGGAAAAGACTAGGTGATATTCTGTCAACTAGAGCAGTTTTCAATTGAGTGTCGTAAAACCAAAACCAGTGTAATCACTTTAGCCAATCACAAAGGACACACTCAGACAATATGAACCAATCTTAACTTGAAGTAAATGCATGAAGCTGATGTGAAGTGCGGGAAAACAAGTGTGAGTGAGTCACAATTGGTTTTGGTTTCCTTTCAGATTGAATGAGAAAGTGGCACAAGTTTTTTGAGACAATCGTGTACTGAGCAAAGTCATGCAAAATTTGTTACTTTTTGACACTCAAGTGAAAACCACTCTATGCTGATTCAAATAGTGCTTAACTATTATTATGCAACTTTCATACACTGTACAAATTTCGATCTTCTGATTGGCTGATTTGTAACACGTGATACTGGGTTGTGACAAAACAACCACCTTGACATCATTATCATGGTGTAATAGCCATGGTGTAAATTCAACACACCACTGTCATTACACTATGGCTTCGGTTGACTCAAATATAGTGGTTTCAATGCAGTGTTTCTTTGTGCAGTGTATTCAATTTGAATAATAAAAATGTTAATGCACTCACTGCTCATGAATTATTGGGGTTCACTACCAATGAACTTGAAATTTTCAATACCGCACCCAGCAAAGCCTCATGCGGCATTGAAATTTCTCCTTCATTGTTAGTGAACTCATGCAGGTAAATCCTGATAATTCACTCACTGAGTGCATTAACCTGTAATTAACCTGAGGACTGGAAACTAAAATGCAGGGTTTAAGTTAGGAGGGATACAAAATAAACACTGATACTACAGTTCATACATCACAAGCAAAATACAAGTCAAGCGTCTGATAGCATAAGTTAGTATGTGAGGGAGCAGGAACTAAATACCTCTATTTTAGATGTTTTTCTCGGAGTGTAGAATGTCTTCAGTTTAGTCATCAATGAATCAAAACCGGAATCTGCTACAAGACATGTTCCAGTTTCCAGAACGGCAAATGATGTGTAAGGAAACTCTGTGCTATGTATCAGATGGATCAGCTTGCTTGCCGTGTCTAACAAAACAGGACCAAAAAGCACTTTTTGAACATAAGTATAGTATAACACGTGCTTTGATTGGGCAGACTAAGCTATCTTCTGCAACTACCACACTCATGAATTGAATGTCCAATACACCCGGGCCCAATTCACCAAGTAAATATCTATTTACTAAATAAATATTAAAAACAAGTCACGGACAATTTGGTACTCAGTGGTCATTGGTACGCCAGAATTCTTGAGTTGTCACACAGATTGTTCTCAACTCCTCATGGTGCTTGTAGAATGACTGACCTCAACAAACATGATTATATGTACATATACCACTGACAAGTGCAGGGCACACGTAGAACACTGCTTTAATGGACGGGCAGACACCCTAGACTTTACCAATACGCCACAATTTTTTTTAAATACACCAATGTTGCACCCCCGAAAACAAAGAACTGCCATATTAAACCCCCATCTCTCCATAACAGCCACCTCTCCACACAGGCCACTTTCCTCCATCCCAAGGTGGTCGTTGTGGAGAAGTTTGACTGAGTCACAATTTTTAGAACAATCACAACATGAGGCAAGTAAATATAGAACACTTACTAAAGGTTGCTACCGCTTGGTAAGTCTCACAGTTGACGAACCAGTTACCAGTCTTCTGGGCACCCATTAATTCTGCACGTTTTTGTAGTTTTTCCACTAAATGAGCTTGCTGCCCACTTTTACCCTCAGGTAACTCCACAGGGATTACACTTGAAATTCATTGAGATAAAAGCAGGTGAACCATTTAAATAATCACATTCAAATGCCACAAGAATGTGGTATTAAGTTTACAGCCGAAAGTAGACGTAGACTTAAGCTTACATTAGCTAGAGTCCTAGAAACGTTTTTCAATAATGTTTGATCTGTACGCAAGAGGGTTTTCCAAGAGTTCACCTTCGCATAAACTTTGCCATGAGAGTAGATGAGAAGGTATAGTAGAAAAATGAAAAGTCTGGAAATATCTAACATTGATCACTACTTTAGCAAGGACGCCTGGATCATGTATGGATGGTCAATTAACACACGAGTATTTAAGAAGTTTACGAACCCAAAGAGGTGAACGAAACATTGTGTAGCTAGTTTCTACTTATCATGTTACTCACCAAGTAACTCCCATGTTTTAGAATAAGCTTTTACACGGCACGTGTGAAAATCAGACGCGAAAAAAATTTAGCTGCACTTTCTTTCGGACACTTATTTGGCGGCCATCTTTAAAACTTAGTCTCCCGCTCATTTGCGCGGTTGGAACTACGGTTGGAACGCCTGGTTAAGTCAAGCCTTGTTCCAGTAGGTGCGCAAGTGCCGAGTAAATGTCAACAACCTGAAGCGATTGGTCTAAATGCGTCACGTTTTCCCCAACTAAAACTGGGGAATATCCGAGGGATATTCCCCAATTTTCAAAACCGCATGCATAATTATAATAATAATTTATTGATTTATAGTGCGCTTTTTAACATACCAGGTGATTAAAAGCGCATTACAACAATAAATAACCTAAAACTATACAAGTATCAAAAATCTACAATAAAATTTAAAAATAATAATAAAAAAACACTACATCATTTATTTATATACACATATTTAAGAAATATTAAAAGCTAATTTAAAAAGATAAGTTTTAAGATTAGACTTAAAAGTGGAAATACATTTGATCATGCGGAGGCTAACAGGAAGAGCGTTCCACAGAGTGGGCGCAGCCACACTGAAGGATCTGTCACCAAATGACTTTTTCATTTTCCCCGAAGGATGCTTTAATAAAACACCTTCAGCAGAGCGCAGCGAACAGCGTGTAATAGTCTTAATATGAATTAAATCAATGATGTAACTAGGTGCCATGCCATAGAGGGCTTTGAAAGTAAGTAATAAAATTTTAACATTAATTCTATATCTTACTGGTAACCAGTGTAAATTTATCAAGCAACGATTCAAAAAAAAACAAAAAAACAATAGCCTCCATTTGGCGCCGAAATATGCTCGGATATTTGTCCGAGGAGGTGAGGTGAGGTGAGGTGAGGTGAGGTGAGGTGAGGTGAGGTGAGGTGAGGTGAGGTGAGGTAACTTTATTTTAAGTCGTAAACTGGTGGGCTCATGACAAAAAACGCACGACCAGTTGCTTTTGCTTTTCAAGGCGATATCAACTTTTCATTTCCCTATGTTGAAATTTTACCCCAGTACTATATCTCTGGAGTTATGAAATTCAACGACGCCATTCAAGATAATAGTGAAACTAAAGGGCCTCTTATGACGTTATAATCATCATTGAGATGCATACCTTATCTTGTAGAGCGAGCTCTAAGCTGGAATTAAGGTTTCCCGTGATGGCGTTTTAAACATCGAAAATCCCCGGCGAAAGTCCAACAAAAGGTTCCCTCCCTTCTCCACTTGTGCATTCGTGGGAATGTGACATTTAACTACTGCGTCTGTTGCGTAATTCAATCAGAGTTAGGTGGCCAGATGGTCAAATAATTAACGCTCTACATTTTCGTATGTGAACGTTATTTACCTCAGTTCGCCAGCTCAAATCTAAGGAACGTTCCAGCCATCCAACCTATCGATCATCGAAATTTCTGCCAATCCCTTTACATCCTGGAGATGTAAAGCAAAGGATTTCCTACGCTTTCCGCTATGCAAATTGTAACGGGTGTTATTTGTAGGTTTTTATGAATGTCTTGGTATCCTTTGGAAGACACGCCGATTTAAACGCATAATTTGGGAGATGACAGAGAATTATTAAGACCGTTATTGACACGGCAGTCATTACGCTTTCGCAATATTTTCCCATATCATTACCCGAGTGCTGTCCTATACGTTGTCCCGCTGGAAATCCACAACTGCTTGTATCTGACTCTGATACCGGTGCGTCCTTCAGAATATCGTGAAATATGAGAACCAGATCAAATTTGGACGCTTGCTGAAAAAGGTGCGAATAATAAGCAGCCCAAAGGCAAAATAATTATAACCAGGCGTCAAGGAACCGTGGATCGAAAATTCGATTAAATTGTAATTCCCCCAAGCACGAGTGCAAAAGTCAATACTAAGGTAGGATCAGCTTTTTCCCTTTTATTTACAAAGTGATTTTATATTAAAAATAGAAATACTATATCTTTCAAAGCTCTTTTTGGGCACACAAATATATCCGTCTTGCTCTAACACGTTACTCTAGCACGTCACCCTGGCACGTGACAATTCACATGAAGACAGCAACTTCATGTGATTTGTTGGCTTCTCGCTATTTACAACATGAAATCAAGGATTTCTATAACTTTAAACTTTTTCACTCTTTTGAAGTTGCACACATGCATATCGACCCATCAATCGTATCTCTTGAACATTGGACTACAGTTCCACTTGTCCAACATAGTCGAGCGAGATTCGAAAAACGCGAGGAAAGACGCTGACCGCTGGACAATCCATGACGGCGTACACGTAGTCTAATCAAAGTTCCAACAAAACGATGACCCCGTTCGAGAACACACTTTCAGGAATGGCTTCTCTTTCGGCTGTCGTTGCTCACCAAGTTCATTTGATAGGCGACATTCTATTATGGTTTACACGAACCGCTCTTCGCCTTCAGTGTTACTTGGTCAGCAGAACGAAGCGCAAGCGCAGACTTTCACCTCGTCGCTTCACTTTAGGACAATCTTATCACTGTATTTTCCAAGTTTTAGTTTGACCTAAAAGAAAGTCCCCACAACCGGGGGCACCTACTGGAGCATTATACTCCAGCAGAGCACTTAAACTGAGCGGTTCCCACGGTCTACCTCTGCTCTTCTTAACCTCTCTTGCACCCATGCTACTTGGAGGGGCCGAGACAGTTCCTCTAAAATTGACCTTTTTAGGCAGCCCTGTACTAATAGGGGCCATTTCTGTGGAGCATCCTGGAGCTTTATGCCGTTTGCTAAATTCTCCTCTACAGGTTGCCATTTCTTCAGTGAGGAATCTGATTTTTTCTCCCCCGACAACAACGTCTTGTTCTTTCTCCGGTTCCTGGGTGGTCTCCCGAGGGGAGGCGGGGACGTGTAAGGAATGGCGTTCCCCCTCCGAGTCTGTTAAAGCCAGCGCTGGCAATGGTGCAAGACGGTTCGCCTAGAAATGAAAATCAATGCGAAAAAATCAATATCAAAAGCGGAAAATACATGCAGCTTGGTTCCTACAAGCAAACGGAAAAAAGTTTTCACGAAACTTCGTAAATGGAATTTAACCACAATTAATAAACATCTAAGATCCCTTGCATACGGCTGGTACGCCTGAAATTGGAATTGACCAATCAGGATTCAGTTCGCGGGAAAAACTGTACTGTCTTGATGTCAATGTAAGTTTACAGGAAACGCATTGAAGTTGGGCAATATTTCTCTCGGGACACGGCATTGAATATTCACGAAAAGGGATTTATAATTCCAAAAACCATAGTCTCCTTCGCAGCCGTTATTAGGGTCGTCACGCAACGGCGAGAAGCGTTGCGTGACGACCCTAATAACGGCTGCGAAGGAGACTAAAAAACCATTGCTATCAGTTTGTAGGGGTAAGGGTAAAAAATGTGAATGGTTCTGTGTCGCTCGTCCAATGTCGCCAGGTAGGATAATAGTTGTGTTATGTTATACAAAATATATTGTTTTTCGTTCATTTAAGCCCAGGATTCTCGAGTTGAGTATTAAAAGAGGCCAAAGCAACTTTAGCATTCGCCATTATGCATATTTTTGTTAGCTGCGAAGAAAAAGACTACTGTCGTGTCGTTTCGGAAGGACAGCTCAGTTTTGACTGCCTCTCGTACTGCGGGCGCAGTCAACGTATGCAAAGCACAGTAGCAGTTCGCTCAAAATGCACGTTTGAATTCGATTCACTTACCATCGGTATTTCCAGTATCTGCTGAGGATTGTACCTCGGAGGTCGACTCACTGTCCCCTCAGAGGGGTCCCCTGGGTCCATGGTTTTCACCAGTAGCTTTGTTTTATCACGGTTCATGTGAGCCACTCTAAACATGAGTTCCAGGCGATGCCGGGTGAATCTGATGTCTTGTATTAACTGACTCTCGCTTACACGATCTTCTTCGAAGACCTTCAGGAAGATAAGAAGATAAAGTATCATTAGTAAATAGCAGTGGTAACCAAAATCGTCCGTTTTAAGGCCCCGTCAACACAATACAGGAGAAATTAAAAAGGCGTCTTCAATCTCAAAATGCATCAAATGTAAATTCCGTAAAGCTTACAGCTTTCCTCGAGCTATGTTCGCTTCTCGGAACAGATAATGTCCGCGGAAAAATATCCCAGCATATTTTCGCGCCAAATAGAAGTTGTTGTTCATATTTACTCACATCTTCCTCATCTTTACAGAAACTCCTTCGGACTGTAGGGATGTTGTTATGGAGGCATTCTCGAAGAAAAGCTTTATACGCATTCTGGAGGACCACAAAAAAAAAAAATATATAAATAAATAAAAAATATAAATGCAATTACGAAGTAACATGGGTCACCACTTCATGAATTTGCTATTTGAAGACAAGTGAAAAAAGCAGCAACAGAATTGGTGATACAATCGTCTAAATCAAACGCAGCAATCAGTTG